CACACACATACACATACAAATTGTGTGTACTGCAGGTTTGCCTGTGTACATGCATAGAAGTCAGTGGAGGGTATCTGTGTACTCCTATTACTTTCTGTTTTATTCCTTTTAAGGCAGGATTTCTCACTGAACTTGGTCCTTGTGTTCTTTTGGCTAGGCTAGCAGGGAGCAAGCCTGTGTTCCTTCTGTCTCTGCTCCCCTCAGCACTGGGTTTACAGGCCTAAGGGGGCCAGGCCTAGCTTGTTACATAGGTGCTGGGATCTTAAGACATCTTATACTAAGTGTTCACATTCCTTATTCCTCTTCTGAGAAATCTTTCTGGATAAGGTCCAGTTCTTATATGTAATATACAATGAGTAACACAATACCAAGCACTCAAAAAAATTTCATAAATGAATATATAACTGCATAGATGAGACCCAAGGCCCCAAATCCATTTCTATACACAACAGGAAAGAAAGGTAAAATATATTTTTTTTACAGTTATATTTACTGAGTATCTGCTATATATCAGGCAAAAGGAAGAGTTACTTTTTACCCTTTGACCAATGCCTGAGTCTTTATTTAAAGAAGTCCGTCCCGCTGACTTAGCCTACATGCATTCTTTGGTTAATCTTAACGCACATTCTTCTCAAGTGTTTTTTCATATTTTGCATAATGGTGCACACCATGTAATATTCCAGATGTTGTCTGGAATAACAGAGGAACTGCCATTGCTTTCATCCCAGTTTGACAGAGGAGTAACCAGTGGAGAATGACTCTTCCTTTTGGTGGCAGTGGAACAGTATGATACCTAAAGATGAAAAAGAGTCAGCCATGTCTTCTGGATCGATATTCCATCAAAAGCTACTGATTTGGGGCTGGAGAAATGGCTCAGCAGTTAGGAGCACTGGCTGCTTCTGCAGAGGATTTGGGTTCAGTTCCTAGCACCCACGTGATGGCTAACAACTGTCTGCAACTTCATTTCCAGGGGATCCAACACCCTCTTCTGAGCCCCTTGGCACTGCATGACACAGGGGCGGTTACACACATGCAGGTAATACACTCATACACATAAATAAAAATAAAATATTTTTTAAAAAGCTACTGATTTCTCTTAAACTAATGATTTCTAGTATATGTTTATGAAGTAAATAACAAAAAAGTTAAATGTTAGCAGACTACTTTGTTTTGATTAGATTGTGATATTAATACCCAAAGAAAAAGAAAAGCTGCAGATAGGGAAGAGGTCTAAATGTGATTAAGAGGTATTGTATGAAATGCACAAAAATTCAATAAAAGTATACATTAAAATGGACTCCTTAGGACACACACACATACATGTATATACACATATGCAACAAATAATGAAGAGGTCAAAAGTTTGAGAGGGAGTGGGAAGCACATGGGTGGATTGGAGGAGAGGGAGGGGAGAAAATGATATAAATACTGTACTCCTGTATGAAATTCTCAAAAAAAAAAAAGAAGAGCTTATTAACTTACAAAAAGAAGCACTAAAAGGAAGAGAAACGGCAGTAGAAATAGCTCAGTCAAGTGGTGGCCATGTAAACATGAGCTAAGTTGATCCCTAGGACTCAGGTGTAGCAGGAGGCCTCCAAAGACGGCGCGGACTCAGAGCTCTCAGATTCAGCTCTTGGTCTGCAAATAGGCCGCCAAAAGGAGACGTACCCTGCTCGCGAGCCCAGTGACTGCTGACAGACTGCGTGGCGCGGACCA